CCCCCTTAAATGTTTTACACTTATTTAGTTACACCCTGTATAGTTCAAAACTTGAGTGGTTTCTGCTTTCTAATAGATTATTTTCGGTCAATGGACGTGTTGCTGTCGGCTATAAAAGATGCACTTTAGTCCTTTTACGGATCAAAACTGCTAATTTAGTTCCATGTTCAGAGGGTATTGTGTCACTTTTAATCCTTGAAAATTCCCTATTCCCTTAGGTGGTTGTTCATCCTCTGGACTAAAATGCACTTTAGTCCCTTGATATATAAAGTACTAATAAGCTTATACGTATTTTAGCTCCTTTTTGTTTGCGATAGAACGCACGTGAGGTGAGGTCCTCGCTTTTTTCATTCGACTGGATACTCTTGATTCATCGCACAGTACAATCGTCCTGTATGTTGGGTGGGTGTACTGTAATAGCTGTGCGTGCGCTATGTTGTCTTATAAACCAGTCCCCGCGTAACGGTCTGTTATTTCTGCTCCTCTTTTTCTTTCACCAAACTGTCACCAAAGTAAAGAGCGATTGTTCTCGTAATAACGCGCCAGTTATGAAGTATCAGCCATTGTCCACACGCGAATTAGGATAAATCTATTTGGATCCCCGGTAAAAAAGGGCTCGCTTTATAAACTTTATTTTTAAATACAATAGATGGAGGGCTCCCCAAAAAGAATCGTAATAACGTTCTCTTGTAAATAAAAATAGATTTCGACGTGGTTCAGACGGGGTCAAGAGAGGATATAACGGAAACGAGATATACAAAAGTGTACTGTGAAATAATCACTGCGATAGCGTGTCGCCCTACTTGAAAATTTTAGAGTTGATTTTAATGCTGCACACGTACACAGGGTGTCAAAAGACTTCAAGGGGTAAATTAAAAAGTTGAATTTTCTGTTCGTTATTGCAACCAGTTAAAAGTTGTACAGGAGAATGGACGGCGTATTATTATACAGGGTGTGGCATGTATAATCTATAAAAAATAAACCACAGCTTCCTGATGATATTTGTAATAGAGAAGTCTTATACGAAAAAGTTCTATCTTCGCATTTTTTTTAAATAAAAGTTCATTTATTCAACGAAAATGGGTCGGCCCCTGTGTTATTTGTTAAAAACTTTGGAAATGTTTTTAAGCGACCCGAGATGTAACCTTATAATTTAAGTCGGTATAATCTAATACTAGTAATACTGAAAGAAGGTTAGGTTACATTCTCAAAAAATTTGTGCAGTCAACTGATTTTGTATTTGTATTGAATTCATTATTCGCTTAATTATTAAATATTAAGCATCCATCGAGCCATCAGTGTTAAAAAGTGAAAGATTCCAGATAAAAGTTTTTATTTTGTAATTCCACGATAGTGACAGTGTAATTTTTATAAAGAACTAAAAAATAAGAATAGCGTTACATTAAAAACGAGATTCTTATTTCTTACTTTGCTTAATTTTTTAGTTTGTGCACAAACTAGTTTTACAATGAACCGAGAAAACAATGCATTTACTATTTCCGAACGTGTCGATATGGTGTTAGTGTATGGTGCAGCCGGAGAAAATGCGCTCGCGGGGACTAGGTTGTACCGGGAACGATGGCCACAACGTCACCCCCCCCCCATGTGCAAATACAATCCTACAGTACGTTCAGCGGCTACGAGATACGGGAAGTGTTATTCCTCGAGGAGAAGGTCAGCAAGTGAACCTTAATGTTGAAGATGCAGTGTTGGAAAATCTTGACGAAGACCCCACAATTAACATTCGACGACTCACACAGCAAGTAGGAACCTCATCTCGTACAGCACACGGACAGGACCGTTCCAGAGAAAATATTTTGAATTGAACTTTAATTTACGAAAAAAAAAACGCAAAAATAGAATTTTTTCGTATAAGACTTTTTTTCTATTACAAATATCGTTAGGAGGCTGTAGTTTAATTTTTATAGACACGCCACACCCTGTACTGTAACGCAAAGTGATCGAACATAGAAATTCTAAATCTAGTCACAACATAATAAAATCGGAATCGTTTTTAACACCTGTGCTTCAGAGCGGGCGAATTCTGGGCGAGATTGTAATATTGGAAGGGGACGAATTAATATATTTTTTTTATAAAATACCGACGATACGTCACTGTCAGAATGGCGTTATTATAAGCTGAAAAAGTAAGGTTAATAAACCTCTGGCAACAAATGTCTCAAGATTCAATTAAGATGGGGGGATTAGCTCCCGTCAACTGAAGCGGCGCAGAGGGATCATGTTCAAGGGGGTAAGCGTTTTATAAAATAATAATTTGGGATCATCTTTGCCCTCATTTTAAAATGGGGATAATAAAACATGTTCGTGGTTTGATGGTGATAAGGCGAAAGGCAATTTTGAACATAAATATATTTTTAAATGCGTCTATTCACACAGGATGTAGTTGGATGTTACTAAGTTCCAGGCAAGGTGAATCAATTCAAAACATGCGAAAATTTCCAACGTTAATCAAGTGAATGTTTTGCATTCTACGGAAAATGCTTTAAAAATTGTAAGATTCGATCGAAAGTAATGAACTAATAGCGAGGAAAACTATGCTTCTGAATTTTTATTCTCACTTTCCCAACATTTCAATTAACAATTAAAATAAGGTATCTTTTTATATACTCAAAAGAATATTAAAGCAAAAACAAAACTTTTTACTGCTAATAACACTGTTACTTGTTATTGATGTCTGAAAACTTAGATATGCACAATTTTATGCTTATATTCTCACAACTTTGTACTTATCCATAAGGATTTGATTATTTTGTTGTTATTTTTATAGTAATATACATAATTTTATGGGAAATTTTTTGTTTGCCATTATATTTTTAAACTATTTTTGGTAAAATACATTATTTGGTGGGGAATTACATTGTTTAGAATTTAGCGATCAAAGCTGATGTAAAAAAGTGTTAAACTAAGCCTTTTTTGGTCCAAAAATATTGTTTATTTAGAATTCTGCCTCAACACAAATAGGTGATTTTAATAGATAAATGACAGAATTTTGAAATTTTTATGGGGTCTAATACCGATATTATTAACATTCAAGAGTTATATAGAGAGTTATATAATTTTTCATAAGCTAATACAACTTAGAATATTTTAAGATATAAGAATCTTTTTCTAATACTAAGAGATTTTGATGAAATATATTCAACATGTACATAATATCATTTAATTACATGAGAATCACGCACCTGTTTACTAATATACAAACACTTAAGGTGGCCATATCCCTGGCCGAGAAATGGTGAAATTTCTGGCATTTTTAGGTACCGAAATCTTGAAAAGTAAAACGTGTAGAACAAAAGTAAGCACAAAAATAAAATCCTTGATGTTTTGTTTATACATTGTTACCATTTAAATTTACCCAAATAAAATAATAACTAAAAAAAGCGTTTGTAGAACATACGAATTAATTTCCAACTTTCCAATATTGTTTTGCGGTGAAAAAAGGATTTTACAGGTCCTCCATCCACTTGTGTCAATTTAAACTGTATTGTTTCTACACCAGTGAAGATTAAGGCATTGAAGTTAATGACAGTTATAATCATGTAACATTTCATTTTCTTTTCTGTGAACATTTGTGATATTTTGTTAGGTTTGAAAAAAATTTGGAGATTAATATTTGCCACGTAAAAAAGTAGCAGGCCAAAAGCATTTTCCGGTATAATTCAAAACGCCACCGAACCTATTTGTACAATTTAGTTGGTGCAGCATATCTATTAAGTACTTTATTAACTACACCAAACGTAATGCTGAAATATTTTCGGGTTAGTGGCGCTCCAAATAAGCTTTTAAAATTGCAGAATACAATATTTAAATGTCACACTGTCAGTCCAGCGCACATTATCTGGTAACGACAAAATAAGGTTATTTTTGCCGTAAATAATTGATATATGCATGAATAAAACTCGCACGTATCACGGTGGCACCCGCCAAAAATAACTAGTGTTCGTTCTGTTGCTATTTCTCGCTCGTTTTTGCCAGTGTTGTAAATCCCGTATTTTTTTTTAAAAGGCGTAGAGTGAAATGTGTAACATTTTCCTCCAGCAGTACGGTGATACCAGTTGTTCCTAAAATGGCGACAGGAACAATTTGTGCAAATGAATAACATACATTTGGAGTAAGAATTTTGTGCATTAGGGTTGTGCATATTTTATCACATACTTGGACACTACCTGAATTCGATTTTGTATAAAACTGCGTAATTATTGCACAAAAACTTATATTCTTACAAAAATTATAACAATTTGTGCTAAATTTTAAATATTAAATGAAACACCCTATTTTTTATGCCAACAATCGATAGACCGCCAAATTTTATATCCGAACGTAGTGTCTAAAAAATTTTCTTCTTTGTCCTTACGGATCATTTGGAGGTCAAACTCATTTTTCTATCAATAACTCGACAAAAATGTACGAATTCGTCCGATTTCGAATGAAAAATTAGATAGTGACCTTGGGTATGACCTTCACCACAAGTTGCAAGGTCAAACTACGGTCAACTTAATATCAAATGGAATACGCTGCTTTTTATGCCAGCAACCAAATATTATGTCGGAATCTGGGATCAAATAATTTATCTAGGATGTCCTTGTAGGTAAGTTGAAGGTCAAACACTTTTTTCACAAAAAATAATGCATATAACAGTGATAGAAATTAATATAAGTATTCAACTAAAACTATTAGTATGATATTGACAATACGTTTGAAATTTAATACATTTTTGGGTTAATAATTAAAGTTTGATGTTAGGGCCATTCTACAGACAGAAATCTAATCAGCTTTTAGGTTAAATCCAAGGTCGCCATTTAATTTTTCAAGGTCAATTTGTCGATTTAAGGTCAAGTTCAAATCCAGGGTCACCAGCATATTAGTTTCTTGATATTATGCAACTTTTATCTGCAACTTTTTTTGGCAGGACTAAATTCTGAAAGGTTACCTGGGGGGACTTTTCTAAGTGCGAAAAATGACCTTTTCTTTTTTTGCAGGGGTTGCTGTGCTGAGCCATGGTCCAGTATTTCTGCTTGAGCCGCCGGCACATCTTACTTTCTCCAACACCACTGGGTCGCAGGTCAGCTGTTCAGCTCACGGGTCACCGAATCCGCAAGTGGACTGGCTGCTGCAGGACGGCCAGATGGTCACAGCGGTCCCGGGATTACGGTGAGTCCAGTCCTTATATACAGCGCGGTTAGCGGATTTTTTATTTAAACTCTGACTACGCGCACAAGCTTCTATTTAACTTGCCTTGTTAGTATGGGTCAAATCTTGCAACTGAATTTTAAAACAGTTGTCCCCAACCGATTGAGCTGAAATTTTGCATAGACTCTGGTTTGGATGACAATGCATGGTTAGCTAAGTGACGTCAGTCTAAATTCAATACGGCGGACTACCAAAGATGGCGGACCATTTATTTTTTATGCACCCTCATGACATGAAATCAAATCATCAAATGAAAGGGTTTGCTGAGAGGAATACGAAAATAAAATGACGTCGCTAAAAGCTTGTTTAAAAAAAATATACATGAACCTATTACTTTATTACATTGATTTAAATATGATATTAACAAAATTTATTTTTGAATAAATTTCGCGAAATTGAAAAGAGAGGAAAATTTTACGTTTAGATAGTGTCATGGGTGCAAATGACATCATAAGGTCATTCTGGGGTCAACATTATTTGAAAATCTGAAGTTGACCTTGACTGACCTTGACCGGTGATCTCAAGGTCAAATTTAAGGTCGGCAACAGTTTTCCCCTACCCTACAACTTTTATAGAGGTCATTTTTCGCTAGAACCTAACCCGAACTGTCAGAGATATTTGCATGAACATTAAAATGGCCTACTCTGTATATTTATTCACAGGTGAATGCATATTATATCTAGGTGTGATCACAAGTAATGAAAAAAGAGAAATGCTGAATGAAATACAATTTTGAATTATTAATGAGATAACTATTTCAATTACAATCGTTTTAATTGCAGTACTAAAGTTGATTATTCATAATGGGATTATTTCCATAGGTGGAATTGTACAGGTTCGGAAAGTTCCCATGGTTCATCGGCCGTTACGTGAGAGCGATAAAGTAAGTCATAGAAATCCGTGCGATAGAGAAGGATGGCTATAATGAAGGCGTCTCATAGTNAAGTGGACTGGCTGCTGCAGGACGGCCAGATGGTCACAGCGGTCCCGGGATTACGGTGAGTCCACTCCTTATATACAGCGCGGTTAGCGGATTTTTTATTTAAATTTGCCTTGTTAGTATGGGTCAAATCTTGCAACTGAATTTTAAAACAGTTGTCCCCAACCGATTGAGCTGAAATTTTGCGTACACTCTACTTTGGATGACAATGCATGGTTAGCTAAGTGACGTCAGTCTAAATTCAATACGGCGGACTACCAAAGATGGCGGACCAGTTATTTTTTATGCACCCTCATGATACGGGTATCAAATGAAAGGGTTTGCTAAGAATACGAAAATAAAATGACGTCACTAAAAGACGGTTTTAAAAAAAATTTTTTTACATGAACGTATTACTTTCTTACATGGATTTAAATATGATATTAACGAAATTTATTTTTGAATAAATTACCCGAAATTGAAAAGAGAGGAAAATTTTACGTTCGGATAGTGTCATGGGTAAAAATTATATCATGAGGTCACTCTGACTGAGGTCAACATTAGGGGTTCCTCTTTGAAAATTTGAATTTTACCTTGACTGACCTTGACAGGTGATCTCAAGGTCATATTTAAGGTCGGCAACAGTTTTCCCCTACCCTACAACTTTTATAGAGGTCATTTTTCTCTAGAATCTCACCTAAACTGTCGGAATTATGACCTACTCTGTATATTTATTCACTCGTGAATGTATATTATGTATATCTAGGTGTGATCACAAGTAATGAAAAAAGAGAAATGCTGAATGAAATACAATTTTAAATTATTAATGAGAACTATTTCAATTACAATCGTTTTGATTGCAGTATTTTTCATAATGGGATTATTTCCATAGGTGGAATTATATGTAAAATATTGTATGAACATGAAATAATTAGCATAATTACTTTTTTTTGTTAACTGGAATTCCTAAATTAATACTAAAGTGAAGGGTAATTTTCATTACATTTACATTGAGGATTCGTCACGTCTTATTATGGTGCTGAATTGGCAGTGCCAATAACGGCCAATAGTAGCGGCCAATCGCTTAGGTGTAAATCTACAACACTCAAAATCGAATCGATGGAAACGATGGAAAACCAAAAGTTACAAAATATGTTCTAGGCAAATTTTTACCCTACTTACCAACTTAGATTTATTTATGTATGACCCAAGAGTAGATACTCAGCATCATTTTTTCCATGTCCCTCTGAGGATGACGAGGTAAATAAAATATATTCCCATCTAAAGGATTTTCTAAAGTACCTGTCTGAATATTTTAACGTTATGATTTATTTATTCAAAAACATTTAAGTCACAGAACACTCGTCCTGCCTCGTTATGAATATTTAACTTTTTGTTCCTGTTTCCCTAATTATTTGATACTTGCAGTAAGGATTTTTGCGTCGTAACTATACAGGGTTGCCGACTAACAATCAAGACACGATAAACTGTATTATACAGGGTATTTCATTAAGTTTGCATCTGAGATAGTTCCGCCCATAAAGTCGCAAACTGTATTTCTCTATAAGCTATGTACATTCTTAATAATTTCTCCTATGAAATTAAATACCTTCAAAATAGGTTAATAACTTTTAGCGGTACATCAATAACATTTTCATTAAGTTCCTCTAAGGGAACATAATTTGTACGGGTTCTCCGGATGGGAGCTATTACAAACCGGCGGTAGTGGAGTCGTTTTTAATTTAAAGATGATCCTGTTAATACCGCTTCGAGGCTTACGCGACACTTAATATAGCACAAATAAACTCAGGATCCGAAACAAACTGGAAAAGGAATTACTGGAGGATTTATCTATTCTTAATTTTTTTTTATTTTTCAGTGGAAACATGTTAGAATACTGTTTCACTAGTCATTACCGAGGAAGAAATTGACTTGTTCCTCTAGAGATACGACTCAATCACGGCACTCGTCTTGTACGTCTATATAGGTTCTAGCATAACGGATGAGATAGGGTTGTAATGGAATCTGTACAGTTCTTTGCACTTCCATTGTTTAGCACCCGTGCCTTGTCGTGGAAAATAAAATAGAATTGTAAAAAATACGTTTTAGAATTTCTTTTGCGCAAATATTTAGTTCTATTCATATTTGAACACGCAAAAAAATTCTTGCTTCAAATGTACATTTTATTTTAAGGCATCGCACATTTATATACAGGGTGTCCCAGTGTCAGCGTACAAAAATTTACCAGGGGGTAGACCAGACCGAAATAAGAATAAAATTCTTATAGAGAGAGCAATATGGCGAACAGTGAACGACCTCCTGAAAGTGCGCAGGAAAATAAGTGCTGTAAAAGGTGTAAAAAGAATGTTGTAAATGGTATAAAGTGTGCCAATTGTGACAGTATCTTTCATTCTAGCTGTGCAAGAAATGCTAACTTTGTGAAGTTCACGAGTGATGACATAATTATGTGTTGTGATCCTCCTGAATTAGCATTAAATCAACAGTTTTTTAATGCTATTGAGAACCTATCTCCTGATAAAAAAGTAATAGACCTAAATATATTTAAATATATTGTGAAACAAAAGGACATAATAATTGATGAATTGCATGGAAAAATTAATTTACTGAATCAACAAATTACTCTGTTAAATGAAAGATATTTGCGCTATACGGAAAAAGTGCCTAAAAAAGAAATGGCAAAAACTGAGCAACTTGCCGCAAGAACTAAACCCATTGGCAAGAGCGCAAAGACGACTGAAATTAACGCGGTTGCCACTTCTTCCAAAAAGTCTGTGATTACAAAAAATGACGTTTCAGCTGCTCTAATGGAAATAAATACTCAGCAAAAATGCGACGAATTATTAAACCTAGGAAAAGCTGTTCCACAAACTAACGAATCTGAATGGAAAGAAATTAGGACACGAAAAAAGAAAAGACACTTAGTAATAGGAAATAATAACGAACTTACCGTAAATGGTAGGGAAGTTAAAGGAGTGCCTAAGTTCGATGAACTTCATATCTACAGAGCAGACCCCAAGATGAGTGTAGAAGATTTAAATAAAATTGTAAAGCCCCATTTTCCAGAAGCCGTCGTTACAGCGTTAAATTCAAAACATCCAGAAGTGTACAGTTCCTTCAGAGTGAGTGTCTACAACTATAATTTCAAGAATGCCATGAATCCAGAAATATGGCCACATGGTGTCCATATACAACGTTTTTTCCGGGTTCGTTCCTTGATACAACACCAGTCGTAGATAATCGACAGGTAGGAAATATATTAGGTGAAAATTTTTGTAAATGTAAAACTATACACCAGTTTGTTAAACAGTTTCATATTATGAATGTCAATTGTCAATCCTTATGTAATAAGACTAACAGGATTGAATTAATTTTAGTTCAGGAGCAACCTGATATAGTATGCCTTTCCGAAACTTGGTGTACTAATGATAATATTGATCTTGTAAAATTTGAAAACTATGATTTGGCTACATATTATAATAGAATTAGTATGAGTCATGGTGGAGTTCTTGTTCTTATAAAAAATAATATTCAGTACAAAATACCTGTATTCTTAAATAACTTATCTATTGAATTAGATTTTGAGTTGTGCAGTCTATCACTCTATATTCAAAAAATTAATTGTTGTGTATTGAACGTATATAGATCCCCATCTGGAAATATGGAAACATTTATAGACCGACTATATATAGCTCTAAGTTACTGTGCAAAAAATTATCGTGCTATTATTGTTACTGGCGATTTTAATATTGATTATTTACAAACTTCTTATGAAACAAATCAGTTAATTGATCTAATAGAAAGTTTTAATTTAAAACTGCAAAATTGTGAACCAACTCGTATTTTTACGAACAAAAATATGAAAACAACAAAAACTAAACTTGATTATTTCTTAACAACTATACCCTATGTATATCAAGAACATGTTACTGATTTGCAATTAGGTGATCACTTATGNAAAGAAAACTTGTGCACTGAGAACAACTGTCAAATACGTACTGTTTATTTCACTAAACATCAACCA